GGCCATGCGGTGCATAGGACTTTGTCTTAGGTGCTTTATTTTGGCAGCAGCGTAACAAACGGCTTATTTGAATTACATTGTGTCAAAATTTAATTCATTCATGCTTAGTGTAATAATAACGCATCTATATCTAAATTTGTATAGTATTCAAGTGAATCTATATCTAAGTTTGATCGATTAAGTAGTTTTGAACCAAATTTATTACAAACCACGGAGAAAATACTAAATGTAGCGATTACACTATTTTATTTATTGTCACGTGGTGTCTCCAATCGAATAACAAATCAACGCAAATGGATCCAAGGTCTTCTCCTTCTAAGAAGCGTCTTCTTGCCGATCCGAAGCCGGAACAACGCTCCGTCACCGCTTCTCCGGACTCCGCCTTGTCTTCCGACTCATTATCGGATCGATTCAAGAGGAAAACCAGGGAACTCCCAAATTTATCCGATTGTCATGGATGTGGACTCCGAATCGACAACTCCAATCCCAAAGAAAGGCTACGAACGCTAGACAGCGTTTGGCGAATTGTACTTCTCTGCAAGAAATGCATTAAACTTGTCAATTCACGCCAAACATGCCCTTATTGTTTCAAGGAAATCCCGGGAAAGGAAACAGATTATTTTCAGTGCGGTGATTGCGAGCACCGAATTCACAGAGATTGTGTTGTGAAATTGGGGGTTTCGCTCCGTGGTCCTATTGCTCGGAGTCAGAATTTTCAGTTTGTGTTGATTGTTGGGTTCCTAAATTGCTTGTAAATTCGATTAGGGTTTTTGAAAGGAGGAAGAATAATAATAATAATATTGGTTTAGAACAGGGTGATTCTAGGGTTACGGGTTCCTCTAAGGTTTTGGAGAAAAATAAAGTTGCTAGTTCGTTAGAATACATGGTAAAGGATGCAAATTGTGTGGTGAATTCGGTTAGAGTTTTTGAAAGGAGGAAGAAGAAGAATAAGATTGGTTTAGAACAGGGTGATTCTAGGGTTACAGGTTCTTCTAAGATTTTGGAGAAAAATAAAGTTGCTAGTTCATCAGAATGCGTGGTAAAGGATGCAAATTGTGTGGTGAATTCGGTTAGGGTTTTTGAAAGGAGGAAGAAGAAGAATACGATTGATTTAGACCCAGGGGATTCCAGGGTTACAGAAGGTGATTCTAGGGTTACAGAAGGTAATTCTAGGGTTTTGGAGATAAATAAAGGTGCTAAATCGTTAGAAAATGTGGTAAAGGGTGCAAGTTGTGTGTTGGAAAAGAAAATCAATGTGGCAGCAAAGGCAAAAGAGAACGCATTGAGGAAAGCTGTGACGGCAAAACGGGCGGTGGAGTTGGCTAATAATGCTTTGCATTTGATGGCCAAGAAGGACGAGAATTGGAAAAGGAGCGAATCTTTGGTGACAAGTAGTGGTAGAACTGATAATACTGAGACTAGGGTTGTGGATGATGCAGAATTGGCATTTCAGTTACATCGCGCTATGAATAGCTCACCTAGGATTTCTAGGAATTTGTGTTCGATAAATTCGAGTTGTTTGGCTGTTCCAAAGATACGGGATTGTAATAGTAATTTGGCTGGTAAATTGTTGCATTTTAGAAGTTGTGGTAGTGCTAGTGTTTCCGGGAAGCTTGAGGTGGTTACAAATAGTAAGTTTAATGAGAAACTTGATAGAATTGTTTCCGAGTGTTCAGTTTGTGACAAGGATTTTGACAGTCATTCTAATGATGATTTGGGTGAGTTAAAACCGAAGTTGAAAACATATACTAGGAAAAGTAAAAGGAGGAAGGAATGCCTAGAAAATGGTGAGATTGGTAGTCACTCTGGCGATGGTCATAGAAGGCAGTCTGAATCTCAGTCTTGCCAGAAAGAACAAAAGTCAAGCAATGAGTTGGGTCTAAATGATATTACAGTTCGATGTCTACGGAAGTTTGATGGAAATAATACTGTGCTGAAGGATGGAAAATGCAATGGAAAGCCTGACCGTTACTTGTTAAAATATAGCAAGAGGCCTACAGGCTTGAAAGAAGTTTCAAGGCATTGCACGGAGTTTCTATGTGATGATGCGTATCTTGAAAATCCTGTCCTGCTCCCGGATTTCCTGTAAATTGTTTCAAGGAATCCACAATGTGCTCTGACGTGTCATTTCAGTGCTGTGCTGTTAATATGCAAGCAGGTGCTTTTGTAACTGTTGCATCCAAAAAATAGCCCTGAAGTATACAGGTAACAAAGGGATATCGCTTCTCTCCACTCCTTGTTATCATTGATTTGGATTTGAATTCTAATATGCTTCCAATATGGCTGGTGAAATACACAAAAATATGCAGTTATACACCTTTCTTGTATATCTGATTGAAGCCATGTGTGTTGGATTTTGGATTATTTTACTATCAAATGTTTTAAGCATGAATTGTAGTACCCTAATAATACGGATTATAAACAATTGCTTTGCTGTCATTTGAAGTACTTCGACAGTCATTGATTTGTTGCTAAGTTCATTGCCATGATTAGAATTCACATTTTTTTTGACAGGAAACAATGATATGATTAATAATATAAAATAAATTTTTTATTAGAATTCACATTGCAATAGAAAAAAATTCTGAATGTTAGTTTTCTTGATATGTTCCGCCTAAATGCCCACATAAAAAACGGTCAATCTCGGTGATATCGCTGTAACTACTCTGGTACTTGCAAGTTTTGTAGGCCCAGGGATGTTATTAACGTAAAAACAGTTGTTATGTGCTTATCCATTTACTAAATTTCTAGTTCCAATGCCATGGTGAATGCTTTCTTGCGGTTACGTTGTCAAACTACGTTTTATTTTTTGTACCAATGTTTGGATTCCTTGCCCACCTTGTTTTACCTTTATCTTCGTTAATGTAAGTTACCATTTCCTATTCAAAAAATAAAGAAAATGAGGAGGTTTGCTGACAACAACAATGCTTAATGGAATTGGGAGGAAAGGTGGATAGTTGTTGCTGGATACATTTTGCCCTTGTGGGTTTGTTGAGTAGGTATTCTGGAAAGGTGTCAGAAGGTTTTAGAAAAATTTTAGACATATGCTTGTAGTGGGGATTGTCTATTATGCTTTGGGGAGGAACTGGCCAAATTGTGATCTTTTGACATGATAGATTGTGTGTCAAAATTTCTTTTTGCATAAGTACAGCTGATACTCGTGAAATTTACCAGTTGTTCCAAATTGCACCATAGGAAAATGGTTAACATGCCGTCGAGACGATTTGGAAAGTATTATAAGAGATGGGAAAACCCATATTCCAAGGTTAAAGTAGTAAATGTAGTCATTTGGCGCAAATCTTATGTTGGACTCGCCTAGGGTATGAAAAATTCTCAGTTCTATTGCTGTTTTATCAATGTTTTCTGCTAGGGGTGGTTTGTTCTTTTTGTACTTGCGCACTGTGGTAGTGGGCTGCTTGATGGTGCTTTTACTGTTTGGGATACTAATGCATTTTTTGCCAAGTATGTGAGGCTAAGTGGGTCCATTCCAAAGAACGGTCCCATTATGGGGAGTCAAGAGTCTGGCATCTAAAAGTCGAAGGACTTGGGCCCTGAGTTTATGTCCTTCCCAATATTCCTTGGCCCCAAAGTCTTGACCTGCATATATGTGTGATATAATAGCTCTGTTTTAGAACGTGCACTCTTTTAAGGATATGCTTATGACTTATGATGCGTGACGCAGCATTGCATGACTCCCAAGGTTTAAGTGTGGTAATTATTGAGACAACCCTCTGATACAATTTACTCTAGACACAGGCAGATTTTTGTTGAGGCTAAACTTGTTCAGGTCACGAATCAGTAAGAGAATAATTTTTGTTTTGGTATGAGACTTGGCCTATAATAGAGTGCGATATTAATGTAAGTGTTTTTCTTTGCAGAACTTCTGTCTTTCTGGACCTAATCTTTGATAAGGTTTGATATTTCTACATCAGGTGGTATCAGAGTCCAAAATTGATCTGTCCAAAACACCCATCTCACAACACTCCCACTATTACTGTACAAACATCACAATCACCATCCACCATGTCTGCAATATCATCTTCCATCCGTTGTCGTCCTCTCAGGTTGCTTGCGAGAAATTTAAACAAGAGTTTTGCTTGCAAAGAAGGAGAACAGATCTGTGTCGTTGCTTGTTAATGATGCTCCAAAGTCTGCTCACTTATGGAGGAGAGTTGAACCAGAGATTAGAGCTCTTGAACCAAGGTCATTGTCGTAGTCTTTGCAGACAGTTAGTTGTGGTTGCTGGTAAGGGTTTTTGTTGCGTCTCAAATCCAAGTGGCTAGGGCTTCCCATGCTTTTCATCATGAGGAACTGACCTGTATTCGTTATCTTAAGTTGACCAATAGCCTTTATCCCAATCAAAGCCCAGTTGACCAATAGCCAACCCATATAACATATTTAACTTGATTGGACCCAACCTGTTCACAGAGCCACCCCCCTTACCTTCTGAAATTATGCAAATACCCCCAAACTTTTGAAAATTACATATCTTCAATTTTTTTTAAATTACAATTTTCGCCCTCAGTTTCTGAAATTATAGATTTGACACAAAAGTTTTAGAGATTACAATCTGGCCCCAAAAGTCTCTAAAATTACACATTGACTCCAGAATTTGCTTAAAATTTTCAAATCATTGCTCCAATCAAGATGGTCTCCAACGCCGAATTAAATACCAAAGTGGAGGCGTTATCCAAGTCACAAAAGGCCATGAATCATGAATTCACTTGGAAGTGTCATAGCTTTGAAAAAAAAATAAATATGGAAACTTTAAAGGCCATTCTCTTAGATAAAAGGGGCAAAGGAGTTGATAAGAATGTAGATATTGATCATCAACAAGTCATTGTTCAAGCCCACAGAGTGGTTGACGTTGACAAAGCGGTTAAGCTAGAGGTTAGAGATTTCCATGGGTTAATATTCCCGATATATTCCTTAATTGGTTGCATAGTCTTGATTGTTTCTTTAGATGGTATTGTCTGGCTAATGAGAGAAAGGTGTTTTTTGCATAATCTAAATTGAGAGGTGAAGCAAGACTCTGGTGGGTAAATTACCAGCAAACTCACTTTGATAGATTGTGAATGACATAAAGACTGCTATGAATCGTTATTTTGTTCCTTCTAGTTATAAATAATGAGCTCAACAGTTTACACTGTCAAATCAAGGAAGCTTGTCTGTCGAAGGGTATATAAGAAAGTTATTTAACTTGTTTGCTCGATTAGAATACCCTGGATTAAGAATGTGATGGTTGTCATCATGTATAGGCAAGGACTCAATTCACCAATTTCTTTGGGCTTAACACCATGGTAGATACAGTTTAGGTTGCCTATTTGAAGGAAGATTGGTTGAGAAAGAGAGCTTTTATGAGATCTTTTACGACACCTACAACTTAGAGCAAGATAACTACTATAGATGCAAGTCAAGGTAAGTCCATTAATTAACCGCAAGAGAGTTTTATTTGAATAAACCATCTCGGGCTATTGCTACTTCTTCTTCTTCTCAAGGGAGTACTAATCGTAAGACAAGATGTTTTAATTGTCATGATTTTGGTCATCTATCTTTTCAATGCCTTACAAAATTTGTTGTTATGATTGAAAAAAAAATTTACAAGGTGATTAAAGAGTTTGACGAGCCAAAATTTGAAACATAAATTATAAAACCCCTTGATATGGGCAATGATCAAAATTTCGTTTCAGTGCAATGTTTCAGTTACCTACAAAATGTTTCGACGTGCTTCGGAAATGTTTCGACCGTTTCAGAAAAAAAATAAAAAATTTAAGAATTATTTTTTCAAAACATTGGTCGAAATATACCAAAATTTCTTGAAAAATCTTGAAACATTCCAAAATAATTGTGTAAATGCATTGAAATATAACTAAATATTTCAAAGCATTATGAAACACTTCGAAGTATTAGAATTTTGATTCTATTATTGATTCGTTTCAGTTTTATTGGAAACAAAAATGTTTCAGATGTTTCGACCGTTTCGAAACGATATTTGGATCCTTGTATATGGGTGTGGTTAGTTTTGATGATTTGGATGATGATCATGTGATAGTTGTTATCCATCCTCTACTTATTGTTGATAAAGAAGTTGCTAATGACGAGCTTATTCATAGAGGAAAAATATTTCAGACAAGAGTTAATTGTGAAGGACATGTATACTCATTAGTTACCGACACTGGGAGTTGCACAAATGTGGTATCAGAAGAGGTTGTGAAGGAATTGAATTTGAAAGTTGAACCAGAATTGGAATCATATCATGTTATATAGATTACTAATACCAAGTTGAAAGTTGATAAGACATGTTCAGTTATGTTCACCATTGGAACCCTCAAGGAGACATTCACATAGTCATATTTGATGGGTTGCCTCTCAAGCTTTGTCACATACTTTTAGGGCCCACCTGGATATGATATCATGATGTGTAACATTTTTGGGTGTCAATACTCGTTCTTTTATTAGTGGGAAAAAAAATATACACTTGTGCAACAAATACGCATATAGTGCAATTGAAAAAAGGTCTCTCAGTGAGCTTCTCGATGGTATTATTTGTGCGTGCAAGATCCTGCACAATATAAAAAACGAGAACAGATCTCTCCCTTGGTGAACTCGAGTGAGCCAGTTGAGTGACCAACCACGCTGCTTGGAACAGCCTGCGAGGTCCGGTGGTAACCTGGAACGGCAACGGGAGACCCTGGGGGAGCGGAAGAACGATCCAGTAAGGCTGAAAGAGGTTCCTGGAACAAAAAGAACAAGTTAGAAGGGCGCCGGAGTGTTTTTGGCGTATCCCCTCCGACGATCTAGTCAGTCTTTGAGAAAGAGAGAGGAAGGAGAAAACACTGAGTGTGTATTGTAGTAAAGAGTTTTTTGTTGCATACCCCTCTTGCCTTTTGCAAGGAGTATTTATACCTCAAAAGCTCATGATTGCTGTCAGTGTAGTCAGTAGGTGATCATTAGGTACAGGCAGTGTGCGCACTGATTCTGATGAGGAATGTCTTCTCTTCTTAACTGCTCGGGGTCCCGAGCAATCAATGCTGCGTCATCGGGATGCCGACGGTACAATGTACTCCTCTCGGGGAGGATGCAATAAAT